AATTCGAACCCACGATGCCAGTATCAGGGCCGGAGAAATACTGCTCACCCGGTGAGACCAAAGGTTCAGAGGTGTTGAGCTGTGTGGTCCGGTAGAAAGTAACCGACGTTTCAGAGGTGCCTACTGATGATGGATGAGCCCCTCTGAAACGTCGGTCAATTCCTAAAAACTGCTCCGTGTGTCCAGACCGTCACCGCTCTGTGGTTCACGGTGTCACTGACGTCGTTCATCGGGCTGTACGCCATGCTGGTGGCCGTGGGGTGCACCCAGCTGCAGAAACTCAGCGCCGCGCTGCTGGGGGCGTGTGTGGAGCGCGGACTGAGGGACCGAGTGCTCCAGCATCAGCACATCCTGCGGTAAGGCACAGCCGGCTCTGAGTGAGGCCCCAAGGCGTCTTTTGCGAGCACACAAACGAGACGTTTCGCTTTGTGTCTGCAGGTTCCTGCGGGAGCTACAGGACACGTACCGCCTGGTGCTGGTCGGCCCGTTCCTGCTCATTGCCTGTGGGATGTGTGTCAACACGTTCTCCATCCTGCTGGTACGTAGTGCGGCCTGCGATGGGAAATACCCAAGGGGACCGGAAAGTAGACGGGGTGCCTCAGTATGGGTTTTGAAAACTCGCGGCTCCATTCCCAGTCTTGGCGGGCGGAAGTTCGTCTAAACATTATTTCAGAATTTAGTCAATTGGTTAATCCTGTTCGAGGCAATAATCGCTGTTTGTTCTGAGAATCGTACGAAATGCAGTGCTGGGCTGATGATTATTAAAGGGGGCAGTGCACATGGTCTTTAAAGAGCCAGAACTGCCCACAGTTGTCAAACGTGACTAGAAAGAACATCGCCATTTGACTATGACCTGGGTAATAACGGCTTACTAACGCCTCGGAGTAACCCTGACTTCCGTCTCGAGGTAAAACGTCCTCCCGACACTTGAGTAACCCATCCTACAAGAACAGAATCCATGACCTCACAAGACGCGGGGTGTTGTGTTGGCAGAGCTGGGGCAACGCGACCGATACCCTGCAGGCCCTGACGCTCATCGTGGCTCTCACCTCGCAGCTCTACGTCTACTGCTGGTTCGGCAACGAGCTCACCGGCCAGGTACGTCGCGTCGGCTAAGAATCTGCAGAATTTCACTGGTATCGCACTAACGAGCCCGTCCGTACGTGTCTTTTCGCAGAGCGCCGAGTTGCGGGAGGCCGTGTGGGGCTGCAGCTGGGTTGGGGCACCCCTCCGCGAGCAGCGCGCACTCCTTTTCATGATGGGGTCTGCCAATGAGTTCACACTGACAGCAGGGGGCATCATACCCGCGTCGCGACACACCCTGATGCAAGTGCTGAACCAGACTTATTCATTTCTCATGTTCCTCATGAACTTCATGGATGACTAAAGAACGAGGAGTGGGGGAAGGCAATGGCCAGA